TAAATTAAATTTGTCTTTAAAATCAGAGTGCAGTTCTTTACAAAAATATTTTTTTTCTTTTTCTTGTTTTTTTGGTCATGAGCCATCTCTCTGAAAACTGAAATGCTTAAGCTGTTCGGTGAAGGCTCATAAATAGTTTTTATGTCTAATAATTAAATTACAGGTATCATAAAAAAGACCATAGTGGCCACATGTTGGGGGCACTCGAAGCAAATTCTCTCAAAATCTACTCGAAAAAATCAAAAGGGATACATGTCATACAAGTAAAGATCAAGCTGGACTAAAAGAATGTGGGTGTTCGAGGGTAAGCCGAGTAATTCTAATATAATAGAGGTTGCTTGAGCAGTTTGGGACAGTTACACTAAGGCAATTACTAAGCCTAGTCAAAGAAATAAAGAAACGTGGGATGAACGGTTACAAGAAATTACATTTAAGCCACGTAATTGACATAGTGGATAGCGGTTACGCGCTCACGATGGACTTGCACAAAAATTAACCACTCTCGATTGGTTCTATAAATATGAGAAGCATGTTACTTTACAGGAGTCGAAAAAATCATACTTGCACTTTCACAAGCACTCACTGCCTGCACATATGGCTTCCGTACACGGAATTGCTGGGTATGACAACTTCTTGACCATATTTTCTTTCTTTTCTAGGATTAGTTTAGTTTCATTTAATTCCGTAGTGTAGTTCGTAGTTTGTTATTCTTAAAATCATGATGTTGTAACTTGATAATTATGCGAAGTGGACGATGATTTGTATTGTCAGTATATGTATTGTTTATTCCGTCTATTTGAGTATATATATGCATGAAAACTATTGCTTGATAATCATTGATGAAAATATGGAAACAAGTACTTATTAGTCACTCTATCTAGTCTGTCTCCATTCTTAAGAAAGTTTAATCGGGAATACCTAAATTGAAACAATTTCATGCTAGTTCAAATAAAAAGAACTCATAAAAGAATTTCACCACAAAAACCACAATTTTCTTTGGACCAAATGTTTTTTTCTCCAATTCAATTTGAGCGAGAAGGTTTTCTTTATATGATTTACTTTGAGTTTCTTTGACCTTACATAATCTTGTATTCATGATTGTTATATTAAGTTGAATAGTTTTTTTGGGAAGATAGCTCAGTAGGCATGTCTTAGTTTAATACCAAAAATGGTTGATTCATGACAAAAAGAAAAAACACAGCGTACATACACATTAGAAGAAAGATATGAAGAGTCGTTTTTATTAATAAGTTGTGCGCCACCTTTGACGGGTGTGGCTAACAAAGATCAGCTCGTAAGAAAAGCCAGCGAGGCCACCACCAATGAGAGGTCCAACCCAGTAAACCCAATGGTTCTTCCAAGTCCAGGTGACGAGTGCAGGCCCAAAAGCCGCAGCGGGGTTCATGGAGGCCCCATCGAAAGGCCCAGCCACCAAAACATTGGCTCCAACCATGAATCCAATCACAATAGGCGCTATATTTACCAAGCCATCCTTCCTCCTGCTCCTGGGGTCAACGCTGGTGGCGTACACCGCGAACACCAACCCAAACGTCATCACAATCTCCAACACCACCGCTTTCCCCGCCCTCACTCCACCACTAAGTCCAATAACTGCTACACTCTGCCAAGCACCATAATGAAACTTATTGTTTAGATATACAAATAAGTCTCGCATTAATAAAATATGAGAAAAAATAATAATTTATAAAATACACTTATATATTAATAATTGAGAGGTCATTTGAGTGATGATAAAAAATACAATTGTGAAAATTTAAATTCAAAAGTTATCATTATGGAGTTGTATATAAAAAGAGTTAATCATTTATAGACTGTCAGTGTAAAGTTTTTTACATTGGCAACCAATCATATCTTTTAAATTATTTTATTTTATTTTTATTTCATTAAATAAGCAACTGACATGATACTATTAAAAGATATGATTGGTTGTCGGTATAAAAAAATTTTACACTGACAGTGTATAGGTGATTAACTTATATAAAAATAACACTGATAAAATATCCCGTCACACAAATATCAAAATTACCTCATTATCCTTACTCTACTCTCTAGTAACAATCTAATAATTATTTTTATCCCAACAAAATAAACTTATATAAACACCATGTATATTAGAAATATAAATATGTCATATGTGGAAAAAAAATTATAAAAATAAAAGGCTAAAAACCTATTTTGGTCTCTTATAATAATTGTTTGTTTCAATTTAGTCCCACTTTTATTTTTTGTCTTAATTTGGTCCCTAATAAATTAATTGGTTGCAATGTCGGACTTCCGTCCAAATTATTTAAACGAAGTTAACTATTGGCCACGTGGATGCCACGTAAATGCATAGGTGGATGCCACATGGATGCCAAATTTTTTAAAAACACCTGGAACTAGAACGGCCCGTTCTGAAACCAGAACGGGCCGTTCTGGGTGCACTCTTTGTGTGTTAGTTTTGCATCTAAAACGGGTCATTCCAGATGCAACATTAACACACCACCAGTACAGAAGAACGGTCCGTTCTGAAACTATAACGAGTCGTTCTAGATTCAGAACGGGCCGTTCCAGAACGCCAACTTGTTAAGTGGGGACAATAGAATATTTTATATTAATTTTATTAAAAAATAATAATTTTGAAAATATTTTTTATGGTAAAAATCTTAAAATTACTTAGTTTTATAAAATACAATTGTCTTATAAATAGAGTGATAACTTTCCTTTTTCTCTTTCTGTTTGAAGAAATATTTAAGTGTCACTTTATAATTTTTTGCAACTTATTTAAAATTAAAAGAATAAAATGATAAAAATTAATAGGATAAACATAATAAAATTATTAATTTGTTTTCTTTTAGTGTCCTCTAAATTTTTACACTCATTTAAAACAAAAATATTTTATGTGTTAATTTGAATTAATTTAACGAAATATCATATAATTTTTAATTTTTTAAAAAGTTTTATAAATTTGATCTATACATGAAAAACTTTTTAATTTAACAATTAAATTTTTTAAAATTTGATATAGAACATTAATTATTAAGTAGAATAAATCTATCAAGACTTACTCTTGAAGTAAGTAAATTTTTTCTTCATTAAAAATGAAGATAATTTTACCACAAAATAAAAAATAATTAAACAATAAAATAAAAATATTAGATATAACAACATAATTAAAATATAATTAATAATATATATTTTATAAAATTATTAATATTTTATATATAAAAAAAAGAATGAAATTTTTTTTAGTATTAACTTAGATCCGTCCCTGCATGTGATTGCGTGGTGAAATGTTGGTCTTGTGTATCCTCTTCCTTTACTTTAGGTTTTACCTCTTCAAGAACAGATTGTTGTTGTTGGGTACATCGTTAATGACTTCAAGGAAAAATATCATGTCATTTTATCCGTTACTGTATAGTGTCAATTTGGTAGTAAGTGGTTCACTCCAGTTTGACTAACAATGAAATAAAATCTGCTATCATTGTCTTTAGTGATACACTGCATTGTCCTTAATAATACTATGGATAGACCAACTGTTTAATTAGCAATTAAAGTTATCAATTTCCATTGACAATATTACCAAATCCAGTGTTTGAAATGCTTTGTACCTTGGGTCTTTTTCCTTTCACGATTCACAACCGTGAACTATAATCATTGACCGTTTATGTTTAGCAGTCTGAAACCAGAACGACCCATTTTGGTTGCACTCTTAGTGTGTTAATTTTGCACCTGGAACGAGCCGTTCCGGATGCAAAATTAACACACCAAGAGTGCACTCAGAACGGTCCGTTCTGGTTTCAAAACGGGTCGTTCTGGTTCCAGGTGTTTTCAAAAAATTTGGCATCCACATGACATCCACCTATACATCTACGTGACCAATAGTTAATTCCGTTTAAATAATTTAAACGGAAATCCGACATTGTAACTAATTAATTTATTAGGAACCAAATTAAAACAAAAAATAAAAGTAAGACTAAATTGAAACAAACAATTATTATAAGAGACTAAAATAATATTTTAGCCGAAATAAAACTGTTAACGTAACGGTAATTACGTGTAAGTGTGGTACCTGTCCGGCGGTGGCGAGTTTGAGGAGGAAGCAGGCGGCGATGGAGCCGAGGAGCTGAGCGATCCAGAAGAGGAAGCAGCGGAGCACGGTGAGGTTGCCGCCGATGAAGGCGCCGAAGGAGACGGCGGGGGTGACATGGCCGGCGGAGATTTTGGTGCTGATGGCGACGGCAACGGATAGGGAGAAGGCTTGGGCGAGGGCGGCGATGAGGAGGCGGCGGGCTTGTCGACGGTGAGTCTGTTGACAGCGAGGGAGGAGCCGGAGGCGGCGAAGACGAAGATGAGAGTGGAGATGAATTCGGAGAGTGTGGCTCTCCAGGTGTCGCGGTGTGCGGCATCTTGGGCTCTGCGGACTATGGTGTTGCGGAACGCCATCCTCCGTTGGATGAAGATCTGGCGGTTGACTTTGATGATCCAACTCGGTTAGTTGGTAGTCATGAGGAGTGAAGTCAGTTTGTGGTGACTGGTCGCGGTTTTATTGAGAGAGACGACCATTGACCAAACTGCCTGTAGGCTGTAGCCGGTTCCAGCACTGTTTTAAGTCAACGTTTGAGTCTTTTTTTAAGGGTGAACATGAAGCTTCATTCAAGGTCGTAAAGGATTCTGTCATTTTAATATTATCCCACTTTATAAAAATAAATAAGAAACTATATATATATGAAACTAAAAATGAAGTGCCAAATCTTGAACAAATCATGACCTATGACAATTACACATAAACTTTATTAAAATAATACAAACATATATATGATTATCGTCGAGTAATAAAATTTGAAAGGACAACATTTATTGTTATTTGATTAAATCAAACAAATGAAGTTTGATTGTTTTAAATTGGTTTAAGAAATTTTAAGATATAAAAAGCAATTGCATTTAAGAAATTTGATGATAAAGATATATTTTTAGGATTAAGTTTACTAAATGAGATTTTATTTGTTTGTTGACATGGCCGCCGGAGATTTTGGTGCTGATGGCGACGGCAACGGATAGGGAGAAGGCTTGGGCGAGGGCGGCGATGAGGAGGCGGCGGGCTTGTCGACGGTGAGTCTGTTGACAGCGAGGGAGGAGCCGGAGGCGGCGAAGACGAAGATGAGAGTGGAGATGAATTCGGAGAGTGTGGCTCTCCAGGTGTCGCGGTGTGCGGCATCTTGGGCTCTGCGGACTATGGTGTTGCGGAACGCCATCCTCCGTTGGATGAAGATCTGGCGGTTGACTTTGATGATCCAACTCGGTTAGTTGGTAGTCATGAGGAGTGAAGTCAGTTTGTGGTGACTGGTCGCGGTTTTATTGAGAGAGACGACCATTGACCAAACTGCCTGTAGGCTGTAGCCGGTTCCAGCACTGTTTTAAGTCAACGTTTGAGTCTTTTTTTAAGGGTGAACATGAAGCTTCATTCAAGGTCGTAAAGGATTCTGTCATTTTAATATTATCCCACTTTATAAAAATAAATAAGAAACTATATATATATGAAACTAAAAATGAAGTGCCAAATCTTGAACAAATCATGACCTATGACAATTACACATAAACTTTATTAAAATAATACAAACATATATATGATTATCGTCGAGTAATAAAATTTGAAAGGACAACATTTATTGTTATTTGATTAAATCAAACAAATGAAGTTTGATTGTTTTAAATTGGTTTAAGAAATTTTAAGATATAAAAAGCAATTGCATTTAAGAAATTTGATGATAAAGATATATTTTTAGGATTAAGTTTACTAAATGAGATTTTATTTGTTTAAATATTTTGGTATTTATTCAATGATAAATTAACATAAGGTACCTTTCATTTCCTTTATTTAATTGAATTGATTCATATTTTTATGATAGTTATGTATAATTAAAAGTCATTAATTTTTTTTAATTTATGAAGTCTTTAAGGATTAAATCTATTATTTTTGTGATTTAAAGTTTAACATAAACTATAGATTTCAATATTTAGGTTTACTAATTAATAAATTTTGCTTAGATATGTAAGATTATGAAAATGTTGATTGGACACTTCATATAGATAAATTTATAAGATTTTGATCAAGAAGAAAATAAATAATTAAAATAACTCAAATAAAGTAAATAGATTGTTAATGTTAGGCTCAATCTTAGAAAAAGGAAGTCTACTTACTTACACTTAATTGTAGATCTCCAAAAATAAAAAAATAAATCATCCTAAGAATTAAAGTAAAGAGAGTCAATACTCAATATTTGTTGTTACTTTGAAAGTAAAAATTATGTCTAAAGACTCTCTGAAACCTATTTAATTAAATAAATGGACTAAATAATGTGACCCAACTAAACAAGAATAACATAGAAGAAATTTTTTCGTTGTGTCATCCTACGACTATAACAATTCTGTAACACCTAATATCCCTTCAATTCAAATGGTTGAAGGTTATATGCCATGTCATAGGCGTGATGAACTTGTCACAACTTTGTCCTCCCTTTGGATTGTTCACAACAAATTCAATCACCGTCTTGACAAATTAGCCACATTTGTGACAAGCTCTATTCCTCCCAATGCTTGTTCTTTTTGTCAAGATCTCTCAAAGCTTGTCTTCCCTTGTCTCTTATCATTTTCCTTTATTATTGAAACTCTTTTTGACTTGTTCAAAACATGTCTTTACTTCCTTTTTATATCTTTCTCATCTAAATTTTATCCTGAAACACTTAAAGATGGAAAGTGTAACAAGTTCCAGACAACAATACATTTATATTGAAAACTTAATAAAACTAATCCTAAATGATGCTAAAATGCAACTTTCTTAAGCTGTGCAAAATGACATGAATTGCAACACATCATCAGAATTTAAGAGTCCATCTTTGAGATAGAAAAAATCTTCCCACTTTTGATAGACAACCTTTTAATAGTCAAAATGTTATACACTACTTCATGTTATTATTCATTTAGTGATTCAAAATATAAGTCATTCATAGAATTCGATTAAATTCCAAACCTATGATATAACTTAAATACAACCAAAATTTATTGTTAATCTTTATAAAAAAGATGTTGAACCTTAACATTAATCGATGAAACTCAAATGATTTTATTTATGAGTGCCAATTGAGAGAAACTGTCTCACTAAACAACTAGTCATCATCAAAAGAAAAATAATATTCGTTGATCGCCACACCACAAAAGAATACAATAATAATGACAATTAGTTATATTTAATATTAAACAACTATAAATGCATATGTAATATTAAAAATTAAAAATGTGGCTGCTGGGATTCGAGCCCAGGTCTCCACGGCCACAACGTGGAATTCTTACCACTAAACTACAGCCACAACTGGTTAACAACTTTTAGCAATATATTTTAGCATTAGGCCAAATGGAACATTAAAGTAAAAAACATGGGCACTAGGAACTCTCATGAATAAAAAAGTATAAAGTATTGAATTTAAGATAGAGGATGCATATATACACAATCCTAACACTGAGTAAATCCAAAACTTGTTAGAGTTTGCATACTATTTGGCTTCCTTATAAGTATGATAAATTTAGACTTCCTAGTCTATATTCAACAATTTCTAAACTAACGCAATTAAAGGGGTTTTTCCAAGCTCAATATATATAAGACCTAGAATCCACGTATATAACTGGAGGGGTTTTCAATTATCTTTGAAGGAAAGAAAAACAACAACAACAATCATTAGCCAATTTCTCTACTTAAGACTATACCTTAACTATTTTTACCAGTTGTTGCAATCAAGACTATGATGAAAGAGACAAAATGAAAAAAAAAAAAAAACCTTCAAATTTAAAACAAGTTTAGATTATCTACGTTTCATCCACTTTAAATGAGTCTTGCTGTGTCACGTTACTTATAAGCAATTCATATTATATTTTTACAATTTTTGCTCCAATGAAAATTTTTATAAGCACTTCCACTTTTTTACAACTCATACTATACTTTTTGACAACTCACACTACATTTTATGATAAATTTTTAAAAAATTAATTATTATGGATAATATATAAATATGAATAACAAACAAGAGAAATTACATAATAAAATGAAATTACATAATAAAAAGAATTTACCAAAAATTACAACAAAATTAAATATAAAAACTAAGAAATTACATAATACTATAAATGCACAATAAATTATTTATAACAATAAATACGTACTAATTTTTGTTATTATGATGTCCAAAACGTTCTCAAATATGTTCCACCAAGTTGTGTTGTAGTTGTCGGTGTTGTTGTCTATCACGAAGATGTGCCCTCCTTTGTAAGTATGTTGCAGTAAAAATAGAATGAGGACCAATAGATACATCGGTAGTCGAGACTTCGCTACCGCCATTATCATAATCAAAATTAATATTGTATGTGTGTCTCTCATCTTCAACTATCATATTATTTAGTATGATGCATGCATACATGATATTCTTCAATGTATCAACACGCCAAGCACGTGCTGGTCCACGCACAATTGTAAATCAAGATTACAATACTCCAAATGCTCGCTCTACATCTTTTCTTGCCGATTCTTGTTGTTCAGCAAATAATTTCCTCTTTTCTCCTTGTGGCATAGGGATGGTCTTCACAAATGTAGCCCATTCTAGATAAATACCATCAGCAAGATAATACCACATATTATATTGGGTTCTATTCATTATGTATTGTACAACAAGAGCTTGTCCTGACAAAACATCATTAAACACATTTAAAGTATTCAACACATTAATGTCATTATTTGAACCTGTCGTGCCAAAAAAAGCATGTCAAATCCAAGTCTTGTGAAGCTACAACTTCAAGCATAATTGTGAGTTTGCCATGATCACCTCGACAAAATTGTACTTTCAAAGAAAATGAACAATTTTTCAATTCCCAATGCATACAATCAATAGGGCCTAACATACCTGGAAAGCCACGTGCATTCCCCATTTGAAGTAGTCGTTCAACATCTTCATTTTTAGGCCTCCTAAGGTATTCAGTTTCGAATATGTTGCACACACCATATACAAATCTCTCTAAGCATTCCACAGTAGTGTTTTCACCAATTCGAACATAATCATTTGTACTATCAGCACTTGATCCATATGCTAATATACGAATTGCAGCTGTGCATTTTTGTAATGGTGAAAGACCCTTCTTTCGAGTTGCATCAACCCTCATCTGGAAATAATCATCATAATGACCAAGGGCTTCTACAATTCTAAGGAACACGCACTACAAAAAAATCAAGTTTTAGCTACCACCAAAATCGGTCGCTATTTACCTAAATTCAGTCGCTATTACATTCAGCGACCGAAAAATTCCGTCGCTAAAACCCTGGTCGCTATTTGAAATAGCGACCGAAATTTTTTCCGTCGCAATTTAGCGACCGAAAAATCAGTCGCTAGATAATAAAAATCCGCCGCTAAAATTTTGGTCTCCTAACTTCTGGAGACCAATTTTGCGACCGAATTTTTTGGTAGCAATTTCCGTCGCTATTTTTTGTATTTATTTAATAAAAACATTTTATGAATCAGTTGCTAATTTGGTCGCTAAAAAATTGATGTAGCTACTGATAAAATCGGTCACTATTTCGGTCGCTAGTAAATGAATAAAATCGGTCGCTATTTCGGTCGCTAAAACTGATTTAGCTACGGATAAAATCGGTCGCTATTTCGGTCGCTAAAAAAACTGAAGTAGCTACGGATCAAATAGGTCGCTATTTCGGTCGCTAAAACGGTTCTAAAATCTGGAAAACTCGGAGTAAACAAAAACTTCAAATTCGTCCAGTTCTTCGAAATCCTCAGATCAGAAAACCTCTCTAACATTTGTTACGATCGACTAAATCTACATTAGAACGGAATAAACTTTAAATCATATGTTAATTTCACTGGATTTTAGTTCTTCTTGTTGTATCTGGTGAGGCGAGAAGATTCCTGTGCAAGCTTCTCGAAGATATCGTTGATGAAGTTGTTCATGATTCCCATGGCCTTGCTCGAGATACCGATGT